TGGGGGGAGAGGGAGAGGGGGGGGAGGGGAGGGGGAAGGTGGGGGAAGGGGGAGAGAGAAGACGTGGCTGGAAAGAAGGAGGGGAACATAAAAGAAAGAGAGAAAGAGGGAGGGGGAGAAAGAGAGAGTATGGTACAAAGATTAGTAGAAAGGGAAATAGGAGTGCCACAGAGAAAAGAGCACACGAAAAAAAACAAATATACCGAGATAGAAAAGCAAGAAATTAAGAAATGAGCAGAGACCGAAAGGCAGAAAAAATGAGAGAGAGAGAGAGAGAGAGAGAGAGAGAGAGAGAGAGAGAGAGAGAGAGAGAGAGAGAGAGAGAGAGAGAGAGAGAGAGAGAGAGAGAGAGAGAGATTGAGAGAGAGAAGACAGAGAATTAATCGTGGGAGAAAGGGAGAAAGGGAGGGGGAGGAGGAACACGAAGAAAAATCCGCCACTCGACAGCAACTTCCGTCTGGCAGCGCGGTGACAAACTCATTCGTATTTATGCTCGTTACACACTGCATACTTCTTACATTTCAAATTGCTCCTTCCTTAGATTATATAATATTTCCCGTTTTTTTGTTGTTGTTTTTTTTGGGGGGATAGTTAAAAAAAAGAAGAAGAAAACTCCACTGCCAGTTTAGCTTGTAGTCCAGGTGGTCTCAAAAGCTGAACGCAAGGCTAAAGTCACATTTAGATATTTGCTCTTAGTATAATGGATGTATGTAGCATGGTATTGCTCAGGAGGAATTCTGTTTTAGAAAAGCCATGATTCGTGTGTATGTGTGTGTGTATGTTTATTGTGTGTGTGTATGTTTATTGTGTGTTTGTGTGTGTGCGTGTATGTTTATTGTATGTGTGTATGTTTATTGTGTGTGTGTATGTTTATTGTGTGTGTGTGTGTGCGTGTGTGTTTATTGTGTGTGTGTGTTTGTATATGTGTGAAAAAGCATTCTTGCAACATAATGCTGTCCGAATTGCAACTGACGTAGGCCACCATCCTCCATCTCCTTCGCGCAAAGAAGGCTTTGTTTGCTGCCGGAGGTGTTGCACAAAGAAAAGCGTAGTAAATATAAATATAACGGGACAGTGGATGTAAATACTACATAAGGGAGTTCGCCGTAAATAAAGCTGTAGGGGGACTGTTATAAATCTAACGACAGGGAGAAACTAACAGCTGTATCTAGGGTTGACCATTCTTCACATAGCTTGCCGAGGGGAACACAGGCAGTCTCTCCCTCCATCTCCTGTGAATCTCACGTACAAACGGACACACACGAGCTTACTCATTCACTCATTCATTCATCCATTTTTTATATTCACGTCGGCCCGCACATATTCGCTGTGAATCACAAATGTTGATCATGCTCTCTGTTCTTGGTTCTTGTGAATGTTTTTAGGTGTTTTTTACTCTCCCCTCTCCCTTTCCCTATCTTTGTCCCTCTCCCTCTCCCTCTCCCTCATTCTCCCTCTCCCTCTCCCTCTCCCTTTCCCTCTCATTGTGCCTCTCCCTCTCTCTCTCCTCTCCTCTCCCTCTCCCTCTCTCTCTCCCTCTCCCTCTCCCTCTCCTTCATCCTTTGACTCTCCCTCTCTCACATCTCCTCCACCCTCTCCCTCTTTCTATCCCCTCACCCTCTCCCTCTCCCTCTCCCTCTCCCTCTCCCTCTCCCTCTCACACCATCATCTCAGTGGCAGCCATTATCTCAAGTCTCTTAATGTGCCTGGTTTAGCCCGCTGTGCCTCTCCCCCTTCCTAATTTGCATATTGCAATGTTGCAGATATGCTGCTCCCCCTTCGTTGCTTTTTATGGGCCGTGACCCTTTATTTCATCCTGAATGATTATGTCATTTATGTGCAACTTCACATTTTTTCTAATCTCGATTCGTCATTTCAGTAGTAATAAAATCGATAACGAGTTTTTGGGTTTGACGTGTTGCGGGAGATGATATATCGCGCGTTAGTCTTAGCGTTAGTCGCAGTCGCTGCCTTGGGAGGCTTTGGAGGCTTCCAGGCGGCGCTTTGTGGAGGCTTGAGTTCGTTCTCCCTCATCTGCGACTCATCATGCTCACTCATCACACTCGTTCACTCATCTTTTGGTGGGATTCGTCGGATACTCATTTCGAATCATGTGTCATTCTGTGTTTCCTTTGTAGAATCTCTTTGTTCATGGTGTGGGTTATTCAGTCGCATGGTCTGTCGTTCTTTTTTCTTGTTCTTAGCCCACATGACTCTTCGTAAATATTTATCACACATTCATTCATGTCTAACTTTCGCTGTTTCTTAGACTCGTGCACATTCATTCATCATTTTCATATCGATATCACATCCTACCATCCTAACGTCCTATTCACTCACCCACACACCCATAACTTCTTTACAAATCACCCCTTCACCCCTCGCCCTCGTACCCCCCCCCCCCAAGCATGACCCCCCAGCCCTGGCAGCTGACCCTAGACTAACCGGGTGACCTCTGACCTGGTGGCAGAACCTCAGTGATGATCAGTATGAAAAACGACCCAGGCACTATCGGGCACTGTGGTTATCGGGAGAGATGTGCCCGTGTGTGTGTGTGTGTGTGTGTGTGTGTGTGTGTGTGTGTGTGTGTGTGTGTGTGTGTATGTCTTCGGGATTAATAATTATTGTATATCGAACTCACACGTCCACCGTACGCGCTTATGTACATATAAACCGAAAAAAATACTAGCAGACACATATGTGTTATCATTCCGAACCATTCTACACCAAAAATAAACCTAAACACTCAAACTCGCTTTCACACATACAAATACATGAATAACCACACATGAACCAACTCTGACGTATGCAAATATCCCCATACACACACACCGACACACGCAACCCAAATAAACAGTACCTAGGAATGCGTAATGGCAGGTGTCGCATGGAGAATTGTTTTAATTGGCCATAATTTGCAAAGAGTAACAGACACAGGATGGCATATGCAGAGGCAAGCCATTCATGTTAACGTCATGCCTGTCTCATGTGAGTACGTGAAGGATGTATATCCCGTGTCTTTAATCTTTCGTATTTTTTGGGAGGTTACTTTTTTTTCTCCTTTCGTTTCTCTTCTGTTCTTTTGTTGGTCAAAATTTACATAACGTTCATTTCTTCTACGCATTTTTTTCGTCTTTTTTCATATTCTCCTTAGATCTCCAAGATTAGTATTGCTCATTTCTTGCTCCAGTCATACCTCCGTCCGACGCTTAGAAAACGCGCTCTTCTCCATTACGCAAGAAACCCAATCGATTTCCTTTACCAAAAAAATACATAAATAGTTGTGCGCAACCTGAAAAAGGGAAAAAATCCCAAGGCAAAATGCGCGCCCTTCTACTTCTCGTGCATACCGATAGATGGCAGGACAAGTCTGAAAGTTTTCCCGCCTTCTCCCCCTTTCGCTTCTTTGATTGGCTCTCCCCTCTGTACTTCTAGCCAATAGGAGGCCTCCTCGCTCATCGTGCTGTGCGGGAAAGTTGCATCCTTAAGCACGCTGATGATTAAGCGAGACTTTTTTTTCGTTTACGAGAATGCACACTACTGCATTTTTTAACAGGCAGTGTTTGTCAGTTAGTCTTTATTAGGGGGTTCCCTATGGCTGCCTACGCTCCGAAGGCTTACATAACGACAAATTAGTTCTTGGGGATCCAAGAAATGTCGAACTGCATATAAATTGTAGGAGAAAAGTGTAGACTGTCATTGATATAAGTAGTCTCCTTAAGAGGTAAAGGAGGAGAGTTTTAAAAATGCGTTTAGTACCCCATGTTGTCAACGTCTTAGGCCATTCGGCCATTTTACCCCCGGGGCCAATGCATTCATGGCGGGGACTGGAAGTGGTCATGTGCCTAACCGCATAAGAGCTCTGTTTCGCATCTGCGTCGCTGTCTGTCGAGCAAATAAGTCATCCACTTCTTTTATCTTTCATCTCCTTTCACTTGGTTACAATCTTCGCATTAGTCCTCAGCTGCTTCTAATGCTATTTATAACACCACTTTGTTCAAAGTACCTTTCGTACCCTGTGACCTCCTCCCCCTCCTCCTCCTCCTCCTCCTCCTCCTCCTCCTCCTCCTCCTCCTCCTCCTCCTCCTCCTCCTCCTCCTCCTCCTCCTATTCCTCCTCCTCTTCCTCCCCCTCTTCCTCCTCCTCCTCCTCCTCCTCATCCTCCTCCTCCTCCTCCTTCCTCCCCCTCTTCCTCCTCCTCCTCCTCCTCCTCCTCCTCCTCCTTCCCCCCTTTCTCCGCCTTATCAACCATCGCCCGCTTCTTCCTCCCTTCCTCCTTCGTCCTTCCACCTCCTTCCCCCCTCTCTCCCTTGCCTCCTCCTTGCACCCTGCCTCGCCCCACCTCCTCTATCTCCCTCCTTCCCGCCCTCCCCCCCTTTTTAACCCACGCTTCCTTCCCCCTCCTCCCTGCCTGATGCTCCTGCCTTCAAGAACTTCCCTTGACACGCCTGCCCTCGCCGCGCCCTTCCCTCTCTTCCCCTCGCCCTCTCACCCCCCCCCCCCCCCGCCTCCCCCTCCGTCCTCGACTGACCCCTCCCACTCTGCGTCAAATATTTATTCACCATTATGAGTTGCCTTACTTAGTGTTTGCGGAAATCCTCATCTGGTCGCTGTTCCACTCGCCATCCTGTGACAGCAATCAATACTTTGTGTCTTTTCAGTAGGACCTAAATCGGACATTTTCTAATTATTGATTTTCTCTTCTTTTCTTTCCTAAATACACATTGGACACGAGTTACAGCGTAAAAAAATCCTGGCCGTTTGTTTTTGTGCGTGTGTGTGTGTTGATGTACGGCTGGGTATACGCGTATGTGCGTGTGTGGTGTATGCTGCTCTTGGCTTGGTTTATGTATAAGGAAGCCTGATACAAGGCAAATGATATGAATCTATCACAGTTTTTACTTGAATCCACTAAAGACGATTAAAGATTTTTTATATCCGATAAGAATATATTCATAACACAAGGCTTATCTTAACCCGAGTTTCCTCTTCCCTTGCAGGTGAGCGCCCCTACAAATGCCACCTTCCGGACTGCGGCCGCGCCTTCATCCAGCTGTCGAACCTGCAGCAGCATCTCCGCAACCATGACGCGCAGCTGGAGCGCATGAAGAACCGGCCGTTCCACTGCAACATCTGCGGGAAGGGCTTTGCCACTGAGAGTTCGCTTCGGACCCACACATCTAAGGTAGAGGCCCAGGGCACGTGCGAGGTTGTCACGGGGAGATGATAAGGCAGTCGTTCTCGGGTTTGGGAATGTCCTTTGGGGGGGAGGGGGTAGGCTCTCTGACCTTGGATTTTTTTTTCCATATAATGCAGTCACACAACGCAGGCCTATGATGGACTACACACACCAGAAGGTAAACATGTATTCTCTTTCTAAAGGACTGAATGCATGGTTTCTTTCTCCGTTTTGCTGTGTGGTTTATCATCGACTGCGGTGTTGTAAGTGTCATTATAGACTCAGAATCTCCAGCTTCTGCTCGCTTGCCCCAAATGATCATAGGTGGACAGGACATTTTTGACTGTCCATATTCCTCACTAAATTTTTCAATGCCTGCATGATACTAATTCTATGGGCGGAGTCAGTTGCCATGAGAGAGAAATTTGGATTTTATATTCAATTCAAGGTCTTGTCTTTAATTACCATTTTCTACTTTCCTCTGTCAAGAAGATCATTAATTGCTATGGTTTCTCTTAAAGTAGAAGCTTGGAATAGCGTTAATATTTTATAAACATTAACTACTTCTGTCTTACATTCCTATCCTAAGTATATATTTGCATGTCATGGAATCATACAATACTTCCATACTGTTGGTAATTTTAAGTGCAGTACTTTGTAAGATTTTGTGTTCTCTACATTTCTAAAAAGAAAAATTGTGAATCTTCCACATACAAATATATCTTAAAAATAGAGACAGCGACTATACGCCAGTCATGTTGTTAAATATTTGTCTTTCATAAGTAACTGGATTTTTATATACAACTGTGATGATATGCTGACAATTGGCCGTTACAGAAATAAATCCAAAGGTATACTGAGAGATATGTTGGGTCCCATATATAGAAATGTGAACTATAAGAATAGGGACCATATTAATAAACATAAAAAGAACATAAAATTGACAGCTGTAGTACAGAATCAGAATCAGACTGTATTCACGAGAGAATTATAGCATTAACATCGCTCCGGTAACTCAGCGCCGCCAAAATAAGAACTTAAACTTAGCATAACTTAGTCAGTGTGTTTTCGTCGTAGGTAGTGGAGGCAGGCAGGTTTAGGTGTGATCTTTAGGCTACCATGTGGATGCTTGGGAGAGAGATATTTTCATAGGCACTGCTGCTTTTGCTTGTGAATGCTTTTGTTTGTATTTTTGGTGTAACGTCTGGGTAATGTGAGCTGCGTGATATGAAGCACTGTTTGGCATTTGTGTTTAACTTGTGAATATGTCTAATATTTTGTAACTGGGTGTAAGACGCGACAACGAGGGTGTGAGTGAGCCGTGTGCTTGGTGCATGCATGATAGCGCACAGTGTGAGTATCAGTGTTGAGTAGGCAAGAGTGCCGGGGCAGGCCAAAGCCTCACTTGGGTGGTCTCTCTCCCACAGCACGCGGCCCTGGTCGGCGGCCCCAACGCTGTCAATTGCCCTCAGTGCCAGAAACTGTTCATGAATGGCGAGCAGCTGATGGAGCACATGAAGTATACGCACAGAGACCCGAACGCCTCGGGAGTGGCAGGTTAGACGCTTCTTTATTCTATCTTTTGTCATTGTCTCCATACAGCACGCCGTCCACATCGGCGGGCCTAACGCCGTCCACTGCCCCCAGTGTCACAAGTTCTTCATGAACGGCGAACAGCTCATGGACCACATGAAGCTGGTACACAAGGACCCCAACGCCTCAGGCGTCGGAGGTAAAGCCGGGGAAGTTGGATGGGCGTGCAGGCGGTGCGCTCCCACTCCGCAAGGGGATCACTAGTCATAGAGTGCATGCTTATAATGAATCATAAGTGAACATACATAGCATTAAGCATTTATGTCACTCACTTAAAGCACCTAATCTAATCATATATAGAAGAAAAACATATTTGATATTCAAAATTCTAAATCATTACCAATAAGCAATGAATACTCAATTTTTGTAGTAGGCATAGCATAAGTTGCACTTTGTGTCACACGCCTGTCAGTTGTTGTAACTTGTGACACACTCGGCTGACTCTCGGTGCTGACGGTGACCCTTGTCTTGCAGCGAAGCGTCGCACGGCCTCCCACTCGTGCCCCGTGTGCGGGAAACACTACGTGAATGAGGGCAGCCTCCGGAAGCATCTGGCATGTCACCCCGAGACCTCGCAGTTCACCTCCTCACTCAGGATGTGGCCCTGCTCCGTGTGCCACGCTGTCTTCACCCACGAGTCAGGTGAGTAAGGCCTCGTGGCTCCTCGTGAGTTCAGTGAGGCCCCGATTTTAACTTGCCGAGATTTATGAATGTTGTGATTTTTTTTAGTTTGGCATTATCTGTGATGGATGAGTAGCTCTCAGAGTTTCCATTTTTTATTATTTTATTAATAATCCACACACATAGAATAATAAGACACGGCATAAACCTTGCTTTAACCACGTGGATTTCCCCGTGCATGCGAGGGCCGTCCAAGCGGCGTTCGTCCAGCAGCGAGAGTGACACCCCTTTTGCCCGCAGGTCTCCTGAACCACATGGAGCACATGAGGATGGACCCGAAGCACCAGTTCGCCGCCCAGTACGTCCTCTCCCGAGCCGCCGCCGAGCGACGCGAACGAGAGAGCATTCTTGGCCTGGCCCAAGTTGGCCTGCAGGGCGGAGGCAATCACATGGGCATGGGCATGGGTATGGGCATGGGTATGGGCATGGGAATGGGCATGGGAATGCCGCACCAGATGCAGCACCAGGTTCAGCACCAAGCGCCGATGTCCATGGCAGCTTCCCCGTCCACCCAGAGCGACGCCTCCTCCCGGATGTCAACGCCTGCGGAGAAGTTGGAGTCCGGGATCGGCCGCATGCCTTCCCCGTCGGACGCCCTGCGCTCCATATCCAGCCACCATGACGTCATGAACCACATGCGCCCGCACCCCACCGACAACATGCGCGCCATGATCAGCCAGAGCCAGGCAGAGCTCGTCAAGTCCACACTAACATCGCAAGCCGAGAGCATCCGCAATGCCATGGCCTCGCAGGCTGAAGTCATCCGTTCTCTATCCAACCACCAGCACGGACTGCAGCCATTGCAGCAGACGCCGCAGCAGCAACAACAGCAGCAGCAGCAACAGCAGCAGCAACAGCAACAGCAGCAACAACAACAGCAGCAGCAACAGCAACAGCAACAACAGCAGCAGCAGCAGCAGCCGCCGCAGCCGCAGCCCAGCGGCCACCAGGCCCCCGAGTCCATGGGTTCTCCCCAGCCGGACATGCGCGACATGCGTGACCTTCGCATGGGCGGTGGAGGCATGGAGGCGGCCCTGCGAACCGCGCAGGCGGAGGCGGCGTTGCGGCTAGCGAACCACGAGGGCCGCCCGTCGCCGCAGCACCAGGGCGAGGTGACCGACGCCCTTCGCCTTCAGGAAATGCGAATGGAACACGCTCTTCGCCTCCACGGCGACCCGCGAGCACTGCCCACCTCCCTCCCCGGCCCCCTGGGGTTCCCCCTGGCCCCGCCTCAGCACCAACCGCAGCAGCAGAGCGCCTGAACACAACTCCCGCCCCCCGCCTGGGAGCAAGCCCTTCTGCCCCCCGCCTGGGAGCACCGCCCCCCGCCACTCGCCTGTACTAGTCCTCTGGTGAACGTGTCATGACTGTACGTCTGTCTGTCACATCGCCTTGGTTCCACCTTTGTTCTGTTGTGTTGTCGTATTTTTAGCTGTGATAAAACGAGATAGTTCCTGGCAGGAACTATGTATTAATTTAATAATCACTTCTCTGTGTTAGTTCCTTGAGTTGTTGTTGTTAATCAAGGGTGCTGAGCGTGGAGGTCTCGGCAAGGCCTGGGGGTCCACGCACGCCTGGGGGCCCTCTGGCCGCTCCCCGCCAGAACACCGCCACCGTGGCCGACACGTCCCAGGCGCTCCGATGGTCGCCCTCCCGACAGTTCCTCAACAGTTACTTTAAGTGCAATTTTAGGGACCAGCGGTCTGTGACACTCAATACCTACGGAGAAGAGGAGTCGTCCTCGCTTGCGCCCGCGTGGCCCCGCCATGCATGCTGCAAGAGCAGGCGCTCCAGGGGCGCGGGAGCCGCGAGGGCAGCATCCCTCCAGGCTCTGCCCCCACAGGTGACCCAGTGAGGCAGGCGCTGCTGTATACCATAAGTTCATATTGCTTCCATGGCTTGACATGATTGCAGTCATTGTGTACCTGTAATAAAAAAGAAATCTATCTTTGTACATTATAATGCATAATACGCACCAGTGTTGGTGGTGTACATTAAGCTTTGCACAGCCGAGTGTAGAAAATGTTCAAGGTCCTAAAACAAGCATACAATCAAACAACACCTTCTGATAGTGATAATCTCTCGAGTTGTGCGTGAGGAGTGGCCACCTCCCTCGGTGATCCCATCGTCTGCAGCACGGCGCCCCGGGGCACCTCCAGGGGACTACCTAGAGAGCCACCCCTCTCACCCACGGCTGGAGGGTCCCCGTCAGGAGGGACGCAGGTTCCCACGTGGAGAGTTGTCTACAAGGCCTCGGGCGTGTCCACCCGCTGCCTGTAGTGGCGCCACACCACATCCTGCGGCGGGAGGAAGAGGATGATTCAAGCTCTGGAAAAGTTAGCTGCTGACGACGAGGCAGCCAGAATGACGTCCACTCTCCCTCCATCATCAAAAAGACGCCGCCTACTCCGTTTGATCCTCCTTCACCTTCGCTCACACCACGCAGGCACGTTCACTCTCGCTCACACTACGTCAGCTCCTCGACAAAGTGTCACAGTGGACCACTATTTTGTTCCAGATTTTCTATAATGTTGATTGCTCAGTTACCGACAACCATATAGAAAGATGGCTGGAGTATTCGAGCTGAGTATTGTGCCGTGCTGCCAGAGAAGGACTTGGAAAAAATGAAAACAAAGGTTTAATCCTTGTTGAACATGTATAATTACTTTAGTTCATGTGGACTGAACATAACGCATGTGTAATTATCAAATCTGTTTATACAGTTGCACATTTAAGTGTCTAATTTTCTGATTACAATTCATCTGCGCAATATTGTAATAAGTGTACATTTCCATCAAGTAGCTTTGAAGGCAAAGAGAATGATTGTGTGTCATTGCAACTATAGTCTTAGGCAACTTTAGCATAGGGAAGTAGCCATCATACTTGACATGGTCCTCTTTCAACTCTGATCCAGTGATTTCATGTACAGATTGAATAGTAAGATTTTTATAGCTTCATGGAGATTTTTGTAAGTGAGCCTTCAAAGCTACCTGAAACAAATAATTAACTGTTGACTGTTCCTGCAACCAGAGTTTACCGTTGAAGCTGAAACCGCTAATGTTCCCACTACCAATAGCCCTAGAATCAATTAATGTTTGTACACTACTACAACTCCTATTACCACTATTAACTATTGCCACTACCACTACAATCACTATTTCTAAAACTACGACTGTTCCTACCGCTATTGCTACCACTACTACTACTACTACTCCTACTGCTACTACGACCATTACTATTACTATTACTACTTCTACAACTACTACTACTACTACTACTACTACTATTACTTCTCCTGCTGCTACTACTATTACTACTCCTACTACTACTGCTACTACTGCTACTACTACTGCTACTACTGCTACTACTGATACCACTACCAGTACTGTTGCTATTACTACTACTGATACTATTACCTATACTACTACTACTATTGCTACTACTATTGCTACTACTACTACTGCTACTACTACTACTGCTACTACTATTACTATTACTACTACTACTACTTCTACTACTACTACTACTACTACTTCTACTACTACTACTACTACCACTATTACTATTACTGCTACATCTTCCCCATAGGCCGTAGCAATAGATCCGGACCCATAACATAAACTCTAGAACCTTTACTAAGAATAGTGTAATTCTAGTTCTAACGCCATATTCCTTCTATTCCATTTCCTTGTCCAATCCCTCCTTTTTCCTTTCCTAGAAAATCCCCGTCTCTCTCTCTCTCTTTCTATCTGTCTATCTCTCTTTCTCTCTATCATTTGCTTTATCTCAATTTTCTTTCTCCGGCCCTATTTTTTTTTTTTATCTCTCTAATTTGTTTTTCGGATTTTGTTTTATTCGTCTTTTTTACTTTCAAACTCTCTCGTCCCACTTTTGGAAATTTCTAGACCTGATTCTCGCTTCTGTGTTTATCATTTTCCAACTTTGCTCCCTATTTAGTTGCCTTATCCCTTATCACAACTTTATCCTGTTCTCTCGTTTTTTTACCTTTATCGCTCTAAACTGTTTACCCTGTTTACCCTAGGCCGTAGCTTTGTTTACCCTGCCTTGCTTCGACCTTGCCCCCTCCCCCCTTACCTGCCCCCCCCCCAACCTAACTCCCTCCCTGCTACTTTAACCCTATCCTTATTCAACTTTGTTTGAATATATATATATATATATATATATATATATATATATATATATATATATATATATATATATGTATGTATGTATGTATATATGTATATGTGTGATATGTGAATATATATATATATATATATATATTATATATATATATTATATATATATATATATATATATATATATATATATATATAATATATATATATATATATGTATGTATGTATGTATATGTTTATGTATATATAAATATGTATATGTATATGTATATATATATATATATATATATTATATATATATATATAATATATATATATATATATATATATATATATGCATATATGTATGTATGCATGTTTGTAAATCACGTACTTAATGCGTGGTATTATAATTTTTAACACAAATTTAACTTATTTTGCTGTACTATCTGACCCCACATTCTTACCAGTATTTTTTCCTTGCTCAATTAGGAAGACATATTTGTCTCATTCGAAAAGCAATGGACCTTTTGGCTCGTCATCGCGTCAGCCCTTTTATTCCAGTGGGAATTAAGGAAACTTTTAAAAAGTTCTGACAGCAAAACAAAAAAAGAAAAAAAAAGAAGGAAAAACGTCAATATTTTTGCATTTATGTTGTGAAAATTCTATACTTTAGGTAAATTGAGGAACTTGATGGTCTTCAACTGTTTTGATTTTGTTATTATTTTTCTAAATGTGTATATTACATGCTCTTGCATAATGATTTTAGGTGTAATGTAATAAAACATGCGTCATGATACGACACGCAGTTCTAACTTCTTTTGTCACAGTCAAGGATTCTGTTCGCTGAAGTCACAGTTTTTGGTCAACAGAAACTTCTTGAATTTTGTTTAGATGAAATTGTATGTACAAAAGTTCATGTCCTCATAGATGGTTAGTTGTTTACTTATCTTGATTTTCCCCCATGCGTTAGGAAGTGATTAATCAAGAAATGATTAAGAGTAAAAAAAAATAACAACAAAAAAAATCATGGGAGAATTCAAAGTTTAATCAGTTCTTGTTTACGTTCTTTTTACCCAGTTTTTGTCAGTCTTTTTTCGTTATTATTTCTTTCACACAATTCTTCCTTTGAATATTTTGATTACCGAACATTTCCCTACCATTTTTTTTTTTCTATCTTTTCTTTAAAACTCCAATTTATACTTTCCCGCCAAGTGATCCCATTTCTTCCACCCAGTCCCCCTCCCAGAGAATTCAAAACAAAACAAAAAACGATCAGAATCCACCTTTTCCACCTGTTACAAACCGCCTTTCCGCTCAACAACCACAAACTCTTTTTTTTTTTATCCACAGCCCGCCAAAACAACCGCCACAACCCATTCTCTCCCACAGTCTTTTCTCAAAGATCCCTCGCCAAGCCAACCATGTCCCACCACAACAAACCAAATCTCCTGCCACAACAACCACAATAGCTCTTCCCCCCCCTTCCCCCCCCAGTACACAACACCCCCAACAACTACAAAAACTACAACAGCCCCCCAACAACCACAACAGCCCCCTCTCCCCCGCCACCACCACAAGCCTCGTTCGAAGTTCCATAGTCTGCCGACAGATCCACCGGTATCAGGAATATTTAAACACAAAGGATAATGCAAGTTCCTAGTGAATTTTCCTAATTAATAACTTGTCGTTTGACCATTCAGAGTGCATTATTTCTTTGATTTTCTTGGTTGTATCGACTAAATAGTACTGAGATAAGACTGTAATCATCTGTGGTCATCTTTTCTAAATCAACTTCTATTTATTGGTCTCATCTTATAGAGGAAAAAAATAATATATTTAAGTATCAAGAGTCCTCCACGGGGAGCGGGTCACCGGAGCCTTAAAGGTTTAATTTTTGTATAAAAGGTTCGCAAGCCGACTGACGTGTGGCGGCGGTGACCCGGGTGGCGCGGCGCCGGCCTCCGCCTAGTGACCTAATTTCGACGTGAGACCGAGGCCGGCGGTGCGCTCACCTCCACCTGGTGGCGGGTTCTCTGTGGACGGTTCCTTCCAGGGCTTGCAGAGTCAATAGGCCATTTTCTCTTCCCCGACTGTTACCAAAGTTAATATTGTATGCTCTAGTTTGTACAAGTTGCCTGGCCCTGGGAGTCTTCTTACCTTAGTTACGTTCCATCACATCTAGACTCCCGAGTTCCTCCGTCTCAGCCTCCATCACCACGTCTCACCCGCCATGATGACCCACGGCTCTCATGTAGCTGCTGCAATAGATGGTCAGGGGGCCCCGCCAGCACACGCCGGGGCCCACACGCCCTCACATGCCCCCTCTCCCCTTGGCTACCCCGCCCCCCTCGCTCGTGCCCCGACTACGCTCTCTAGTGACGACGTCACCCGCGCGGCTCGCACACGCCGCCGCGTCCGTGGCCGCTGCGACGCCGCCGCCTCGCAACGTGTGTATGCATAATAGTGTGTGACGGCCAGGGTGGCGACTGTGGTGGTGTCGTCAGTGGACTGTGAGCTGCCTCTCACCGACCGACCGACCGACCGACCGACTCCCGCGGAAGGAACAGGTATCAAAACTGCAGGTCACAGGACCGACGGGGGGCGGCCTCAGGGGACAGTAAGATGTCGCGCCTCCTGGGCGGAGCGCACACCAGATGCCTTGCCCATATACCTCACGCCACTGCCGCCGCAGCCTGGCCCACCCCTGAGGCCGCAGCCGCCCGTTGCACGCCCGCAGTCTTCCACACGGACACGCCGCAGTCCGCGGGGCACCACACCGCAGGCGGACTGTTCGGCACTCACCAGCAAGACCTCTTTGGGTCGATAATCAGATTGGTGTCCATCAAAATGGCCAAATACGATTTTCTGTATATTAAAATGGTGTCTGAAAGACATAATAAATGCACACGTCCCAGCCATCTTCTTTGTACTATTGTATGAATTATCAATAAGTAGTGTTGGATAGACTGTTGTTGTCATGTTGTCGTCTTTATAAATTATTAAGGGTCGGGCACTGTGTTGGTAATGCTGCAGTGTGAGACAATGTACAATATCTGTGCGGGCCCGCTCACCCCCTCCCCCCGACGCCCCACATCTTAAAGGGGCGTAATCCCCCCTGCCCCATTTTCTATGGTCCTGCTGCACTCCCCCTTAATTGTGACTCATCAGTGTCGTCATCAAGTGTAAAGATGGTGCACTGCTGTACATCGAGTGAAGAACTTAGACCATGCCAGATGACGGTGATGTGTGTCGTGTGTGTGTCGGAGCGTCACCCCCGGGGGCTGTAGAGCAGAGTGCGGACGAGCTCTCTGTGCATGTTCTCGCTACTGATGCTTCAAAATATGGTTTTGTTCCGTTTCTTGTCCTACTATGTAGCTACAAATGTTCATGTGTTAGATGTAGTGTGGGAAATAAAAAAAAAACTGTCAAACTCTGAACCAAGCCCATGTTTAAGGCATGGATTCTAAAAAAACATAAAATAAAAAAGTAAAAAAAAAATATCGCGAAGCTGGTTTGAAGCTGACTTGGTTCAAGGGTGAAGCTATGTCAGGCAATGTCAGTTTAAGGAAGCCTTGATCTCCTGAAGTAGGCTCGAAGATGTCCGTCGCCACAACGTGAGTCTGTGTGAGCGAGTTGGAAGCGCGTTAGACGGCCTATTTGTATTAAATTATTGTGTACTTTACCAAGCTTCCTAAATGACGCCCCTATGACCTTTGCCCGTGGTACTGAGTGTATAGATCCTGCAGTAATAAACATGAGTCCAACTGGTGCTTTGTGTGTCTTTTCTACCTCGACTAAGACCTCTGCAAGACGAATGTGCGTCGTGGAAAATTCGATGCCTTGTTACTTAAATTGATCTCCGCTCATTGTGTATTTTTTTCTGATAATAAATGCCCGTAAGTCGAGGACATAATTTCATGCTATCAGGGACGGTATTCGGACTGTCTATCTGCATCTTTATAAATGTGATCCTTCCTCATTTTATTTACTCATTGGCATGTGTTTTTCTTTCTTTTTTTATAAATATGCATTGTGTTGTTCTGCCTAACGATAATTTATTCATCCCTTTCGTAATACAAGCCAGTGTTATTTGTTCATAGACATCGGACCTATGCAAGTATAGAAAAATCTCACATTTTGATAAAAATGGAAATGAAAACCACAAAAGTTTAGATATATTATTGTGTAAACTATATATTGCAAATTTTGCAATGCGCAGTACATAATGCAATACTGAAAAAACAAGACATAATATTCACAAAGTACAGAAGAGAAAATAAAACAGTTTCGAGATACCGACATAAATTCTGTATGAAATAGAAACATCAAGTATTCACGGCAGTAATTGAAAATACACAAGTCT